GATCCAGCGATTCCCCTGCTGGGACTATACCCTGAGAACACCAAAACGCCAATACAAAAGAACCTATGCACCCCAATGTTGGAAGAATTAATATCCTTAAAATGTCCATACTACCAAAAGCAATTTATAGATTCAGCGCAATCCCTATTAAGATACCAATGACGTATTTCACAGAAATAGAACAGACATTTCAAAAATTTATATGGAACCATAAACGACCTCGAATAGCACAATTTACAATAGCCAAGTGTTGGAAGCAACCTAAATGCCCATCAGTAGATGACTGGATCAAAAAATTATGGTACATATACACAGTGGAATACTACGCAGCAGAAAGAAAAAAAGAAGTACTAAACTTTGCGACAGCATGGATGGAACTGGAGAGCATCACGCTAAGCGAAATAAGCCAGGGGGCGAAAGACAAATACCATATGATCTCACCTATAAGCGGAACCTAACCAACAATGCAAAGAAGCAAGGAAAATATGACCAGCAACACTGAAAGGAAAAGAAATCAACAGAGACAAGAGGGAAGGGGGGGCAGGGAAAGGGAAGGGAAGGGGAAAGTCAAGGAACATATAGCAAGGACTCATGGACAAAACCAAAGGGGAAGAGCTGAGGGAGGGAAGGTGGGAAGGGGCAAGGGAAAGAGGTGGGGGGAAGGCAGAGACAAATGTATTTAAAAAGTAAATAAATTAATTAAAAAAAACCCACTGGGTTTTGAATTTAATTGATTGTATTGTCATTATTTTCAAATACATAAATCAGAGAGTAAATGTAAAATAAGAAAAAAAAATATACCTTAGTCTCTGCCCTCAGTTCCTGGCACAGAGCTCCTAAAACCCCTATAATGGCCTTTAAAAATAGGTGTCCATTAGGAGCATCTTTTTTTCTAATATTTGGTCTTTGACCCCAGTTTTTGACATGGAGTTTCTAAATCTTTTGGAATTTCCTGGTAATACGAGTGTCTTTTGTTCTATTGAGGTGATTCTTTGTGGCCTCCTCAATAGCTTCAGGATGGGAGCTGATTACCAGAAAGACCAAGCCATAGTTAGAAGCTTGGAACATTCAGCTTCACCCCCCACTCTCTGTGGAGAGAGGGGCTGGAAATGAACTGAATGATCAATCATGCCTACGTGATAAAGCCTCCATATTAATGAGGTCCTTACACTCCTGTCCCTGACAGTTAAATGGGGTACAAGGTGATGCAAAACCAGAATAATTCCCTTCAGGGAAGCTGAGGGTCTCCCTAAGGGAGGCTTGGAGATAGGCAAATACATGGCTACCACCTGAAAAGAACTCTCTCAGGCCTGAGATCTTATGCTACCAAGGTTGTCTTCTTCTGAGGTATCTGCAGCCCTTGTGGTGGAGCCAGTTCCTTTTTGCCACTGTAAGTCTTACTCAGACAAATGTAGCCTGAGAGGTGAAGAAGAAATCTTTCTTGGCATTTCCTAGGTCTTCTTTTCTACTTCATCCCTAAATCCCAGCCCTAGAGCAGAACTGCTTCCCAAAGCTGGTCTGGCCACCTTCCCTCCCTCTTCTGTCTGGGCTGTCCAGATCTGAAGGTGATAGGGCACTCACCACTAATCCGCTTAACCTTGGCTATTGCACTCTCCCCTCATATTCATGATTGCTGATCTTCGGGAGTTCCCCTCCCTCCTTGTTGCTTCTTCCATAGCTGTGTTCCTTGCCTGAATCCACATGGTAATATGGAACCAGCAGCACAAAAGAAGAGGAATGAGAATAGAAAATAGAAGAATGAGAATAGAAGGGCTTAGCAGCAACTGTGTAAAGCTGTTGAGCCAAAGACAATACTTTTGTAGGGGGTACCCACCTTTAAATTGGAAACAGCCCCCCCCACAGCCATTCTGTTATTGTGTCTATTCCTTTGGGAAGAGCGGAACACAGTAACTTTTACTAGGTCACATACCTGGGCACCTCTCCCATACTATGGGAATGGAATTGGCAAAATGTCAGGAGCAGAGCTGGCCTGTGACAGGGAGAGTAAGACGGTGAAAAGAAACCTGAACAGGATTTTGGTTAGAAGCCATCCTTGTTTGCTGGGAAGAATGCAAAGACCTGGTGTCACTAACATGCTCTTGTGCCTCAGCCACAGCAGGCAGCAGCTCTCTGCTTGCTGAGCCCATGACTTCCAACCCCAGGCCTTACAAATGCAGACCTGAGTGGAAAAGGACTGCTGTCATCTGCTCCCTCGGCTCCTTTCTCATCCTCTTTACCCAATCTTTTCCCTGGTGTCCTTCACTTCCTTAAGACAGGAGCACAAGACACTGGGATGTGAACCTGCACCTCTCACACCTGGTTCAGGTCAGCTTGTTCCCTGTGGAATCTGAAGTTGGAACATTCTGGAACTTCATTCTGTCCCCTGAAGAAATAATCAGCCTGCTTCTCCAGTCCCTGAGCTTTCATACGCTGTCTTCCTGTTGTGTCTTCAGAAAGGCAGTGGAAAGGCAGCGGAGTTCCCCTCTCTTAGCCAAATACTATGGAGGTAGTGGGGAAGTAAAAAGCAGAGTAACACCTCTCTCCTTTATTCCACTCTGCCATTTTTTTCCTTAGTGTCCAATGTGTGTTTTTGAGATTGTGAGGGCTGATACAAGTGGTTAGAATGCATGGGAAATGATGCCCAAGGCTGTCAGAGAAGCAAAAGGGAAAAATATGTACTGATGTGTCAGCCAGGAGCTTCCAGTTTCTAAATGCTATTCACACCATGGGAACAAGTGTCCTTTCTTACTGGAGCTTTTGTTGCCAAAGGACAGTAGGATTTGACCTTGGAATCAGGAATCAATTCTCTTCCTGTTTCTGCCCATTCATGTCTAAAGGCCTTCCTGACACCTTAAATAAGTGATCTCTAAAATAGGACCCATATTCTGTTTTGACCTCTCCTGGAAATATATGAGAACTTGCAAAATGAGCTTTCAAGCTAACAGGTGTTGTTAGAGGGATTGGCAACTATGTGAAAATGGAGTGCCTTTTTGCTGACCTGTTGTCAGGAACTTTCCTGAATCTCATGAGTGGGTAGTAACTGCTGGCTCCATTGATGCAGTACTTCCTCCCACTTTTGAGTCAATCTCTTCTTTATAAATGTTACATGAATGGTGATAATAGTAGCAGCTATTTAGGGTACTATTATAAATGGAGTCCTGCAGAGAGTACCCTGTGTAGGAAGTTTTTATTTTCCCTTAGTTCTAAGGGTACAATCTTATTAAGTTCTAGAAAGGATGGCGGGGCAGCCAGTCTCCAAACTTTAGGACTATAATGGGGTCCCTTCCTTCCAGGCCACTTCCTCCTCCAGGCTTAGCTCTTTCATTATTTTTAGTGACCATTCTACACTCACCTTTTCCCTCTTTCATTAGTTTGAAGACACATCTAATAGTGCAAATACTATCCACAAAAATTCTAACCCAGCCATCCCCTACCCTCCTTTTTCAGGCATCTAGTATATTTACAGGTTCTGTTACTGATTAACAGTTGTATCTAGCTGAATAGGGACATTGGCTTATTGTTTAGCAATGATGAGAGAGAAGCAACTCAGAAAAGAATGTCATACCAGAAGGCTACCATTCAGACCATCATGAAGATGCTTAAAAGCCAGCTGGAAATGATGAAAACACAATTAGGGATGCTTAAAATCAAAACAAGCAGATAAAGCTGATATAGAAAAACTAGCTGAGAGATGAAGAATGTTCCAAATGTTTATAGAACATGTATGTGGCTCATGTTAGGCATGCTGACATGTCTCATTTAATCCTCACAGCAGCCTGAGAGGAATGAATTATCTATACTTTACAAAACTGAAAAAAAAAAAGGCTTGGAGAAGTTTCTTGATGAAAAAAAATGAAGATATCTATTTTAAAATAAGTTAACAATTGCCATTGCTAAGTAATTTGGTAACAATGTTTTGTTTAATGTTCAAATTTCATATGAAAGAACATGCCATTTTCATAAAAAGTAAAATTTCATGAATCAATATATAGCTTTGGTCAACATCTTAAACTAGGATCAACTTCCCTTGACATCACATTGCTTCTCAGTAGATGATCACTAAAGCCAATGGGGAAGGAAGAAAAACTATCAACATTAAGTTTCCATCTGACCAAGCTCTTCGTGGGGCCATCATTCTAAGCCACAGACCTTACTTTGATCTGACACTTCTGGACGTTCTCTCCTAATATCTATTGTGCATTGAGGCTATGAGGTCACAGGGCTCTCCTTGCCATTCACAGTAAATTAGTTTAGAAAATCTCCGGGCCTTCTTGCAGAGCATCCAGGTGTATGGGGTTGTGTTGAATAGGTATAATAATGTGCCTCCTTTTAGGGCCTGGAACAGTGTGGCACCAATTTGAAAGCCTCCAGTCCACATAGTTACAAGTCAAAAAAGGCCATTTACCACTGCTCTGTGCTTTCTACAGAGACAGATATCTGAATGAGGGCCCAGACTGCCTCCTTCACCATTTCATTTTACACACACACACACACACACACACACACACACACCCCTCAATGCTAAGAAACAACACACACACACACACACACACACACACACACGCCCCCCCCCCAATGCTAAGAAACAACAGGAAGAGAGATATATCAAGTGCTTGCAAGGTCTGTGTTGACATTCAGGCCTTCACTTGTGGCCTGGAACTCCTTGACAGAAAATTTTGCAGTAGTGGGTGTTTAGGGGAGAGGCAACTAGATTGGGATACTTCACCCATGGCAAACAGTGAATCCTCTCACTGTTGTTCCAGAATAAAGTTCCCTGAACTGTTCATCCAGAGTAATAACCATAGAAACTCTCTGACCTCCCTTTAGAGAACCCAAATACCGTTATTTTCCATCTCTCCTGAGAAAGAATGAGAGTAGGACTAATGTCCACCATACATTAGCTGAGCATCTGATACCTACCTGAAGAATTTAGATCACAGAGGGCTGGGAAGTTAAATAGACAGATATATAGATAGATAACCATAGATATAGGATGGCTGTATTTTCATTCCTTTATTTATGAAGTATTCATTATGTATCAGTCTTGTGCTAGGCACTGAAGATACAACGCTGAGTAAGGAAGATCGCTTAGATTCCTTTATGTGAAGCATGACATGTCCCCCTCCCAAATTTTCTGTTGATGACAGAATCCTATCATTAGGTGACTCAAAATTTTGTATTCTTGTATCACCTCTAGGGTCAAGCTCCATATGGTGACTTTCTTCAGACTGGAGACTCTGGACATGATTCCCTTCTCCTGTGAAGCTTCTGGTGTCTAAGAAGGCTTGACCGTCTGCTGAAGTTTCTCCTGCATATGCTACAGGAATAAGGCTGCTCACCTGTGTGGGTTCTTTGATGTTTAATAAGGTGAGAGTTCTGAATGAATCTTTTTCCACATTCATGACATTTAAAGGGCTTCTCTCCTGTGTGAATTCTTAGGTGTGTGTGTAGATTTGTGTTATGACTGAAGCTTTTCCCACACCATGAACATCTATATGGTTTTATTCCTTGGTGTGCCATTAAGTGCTTATTTAAATCTGAACTCCATCTAAACCGCTTATCACATTGTTGACATTTATAGGGTTTCTCTTCAGTGTGAATTCTCTGGTGCTTAATAAGATCAGAGCTGACTCTGAAGCCTTTCCCACATTCCTGACATTTAAAAGGTTTCTCCCCTGCATGTCCTTTTCCATGAAGATCCAGACATTTTGGAAGCTCTTGTTTACAAGTTGAAAGTTTCTTTCTCTTCTTCCCTAGAAAAGCTCGAGGTCGTTTCCGTACCCTGTGTGTACCACCATGATTTTCTTTGCCTGTTTTCTCGGCAACTTTCATCCTGGCCTTTCTTAATACTTTGCATCCTGATGTTTGTATTTCTAATGCAGAAGTAGATACAGGGGGGTCATTTCCAGTGTCATTTTTGAGCTTTAACCCTGTTGGTAGAAACAGAAGAATCAGCCATCTGTGTCCCAGAACAAGAAAACTAGAATGGAGAGAAAAAAAAATCAATGATGACTGCTTTTAAAAAATACCAGAACAAGTGATTTCTGGTCCAATCTGGACAAAACTGCATAGACCCAATTCTCCCTGATCCTCCCTGCTAGGTCCAACAACAAACCCAACATATAACAAACAGAATTTTAAAAAGTGGTAAAAAGAAGGCAAAAAAATTTGGGACCCCAGGAGTAGGAGAATAACATAAAGCGTAGTACATTCCCACAACCAAGAGAAGAAAGCAACCCAGATTTAGTGTTTTCTAACTCTCAACCTAGCAACAGAGGCTTCCTGCACAGGCTTATTTCTTACCAGTATGAATGGGAAACATTCTGACAACAGAAATTCTAACAAGACAACGAGAAGGCAGGCGGAACAAGCAAGAGGTACCTAGGAACAACAAATGGACTAGCCCAGGGAGCCTATTTATCCCTGTGGGTCTGAGACTCCCCATTCCCATTGAGAGACACTCTGGCCTAAGTAAATAACTTCCTTACCCTGAGGGAGCACCAGCAGGGATGACACATCGGCACCCTAGCAGTACCACATAAACCAAGGCAATACCAAAAAGTCTCTGAAAATTAAACTGTTATTGGAAGCATACCCCCATCAGAGTAGGAAAGAATCTATGTACTAAACTAAAACATTGTGGCTTCCCATTAAATTAAAATGTTTAAATGAGACCCAGATTCTCCTAACATAACAGACAAAGTGATCAGGACACAGTTACAAAAAAACAAACAAACAAAAAAAGCCATCATACTGAGAACCCCAACTCCTGCCAAAATCACAACTTGAGTGAGAAAAGGCAACCTGAAAAAAATGAAACCACACTAGAATTCAAAAAACAGAAAAATCTAAAACAGGAAAATCTAGAAATACATGAAATGAAACAACACTTCTAAATAATCCCTGGTTTAAAGAGAAAGTCTCAAAAGAAATTTAAAACTACATCATTGAGCTCTGTCCAGTGTGGCTCAGTTGGTTGAGCATTGAGCATCATCCTGCAAACCAAAAGGTCACTGGTTTGATTCCCAGTCAGGGCACATGCCTGGGTTGCAGGTTCAGTCTCCAGTAGGGTCACATGCAGATGTTACTCTCTCACACTGATGCTTCTTTCCCTTTCTTTCTCCCTCCCTTCCTCTCTGTCTAGAATAAATACAAAATCTTGTTTAAAAACTCCAGTTATTTAAAAAAATAGAGTTGAATGAAAATGAAATTACACAGAGAAAGACAAATACCGTAAGATCTCACTTATATGTGAAATATAAGAAACAAAATAAACTGATGAACAAAATAGAACCAAAGGCATGCATACATAGAACAAACAGACAGATCTCAGAGGGGAGGGGAGTGTGGAGAACTGGATAAAAGAAGGTGAAGAGATTAACCAAAGAACATGTATGTGTAGCCCATGGACACAGACAATAGTGTGGTGAAGGCTAGGGGAAGGGGGAATGGAGGATGGGTGGAATTGGACAAAGTAGGAGAAATGGGAGAAATCTGTAATAGTGTCAACAATAAAAAAGTGAACCCTAAAAAAATAAAATGAAGTTACAATGTATCAAAATATGTGGAATGGAGCTAAGGAAGTACTCAGAGGAAAATGTATAGCCCAGAATACTTATAATAGAAAAGGGGAAAAGTCTAAGATAAATAATCTAAGTTTCTACCTCAAGAAACTAGAAAAAAGCAAAATAAACCCAAAGCAAGTTGAAGAAAGCAAATAACATATACCAGACCAGAAATCACCATGAAACAAAAAATCGGTAAGCCTTTATCGTGACTGACAAAAATAAAAGGAAAAAAGACACAAATCACCAATATCAGAAAGGAAATTAGGTATATCACTACACATTCTGCAGCAATTAAAAAGATAATAAGGAAGTACTATAAACAACTTTATGTTCATAAATTTAAAAAGAGGAAAAATGGACCAATCCTCAACAACTATAAACTATCAGAATTCAACCAATATGAAATAGATAATCTGAACAGCACTATTACCATTAAAGAAATTGAATTCATAATTTAAAAGCTTCCAGAAAAACAAAATCTCCAGGTCCATTTGGCACTACTGGAAGATTCTACCAAATATTTAAAGAATTAAAACAATTTTATGCAATCTCTTCCAGAAAAGAGAATACTACCAAACTCATTTTAAAAGGCCAGTATTATCCTGATAGCAAAATCATACAAAGACAGTACTCTAAAACAGACAACTACAGACTAACATCTCCCATGAACTTAAATGCAAAGATCCTCAACAAAATATTGATAAACTGAATGTAACAACACATATGAATTATATGTCAGGAATCAAGATGGTGGAAGAGTGAGTGGAAGTCACACTGACCTCCTCCCAAGACCAATCTGGAATTACAACGAAACTGTGGAGAAATCACCTGCAACAAACAACTGAACAATAGCAAGAGAGGAGCCTTATAACCTCAGACAGACAGATGAATCAGCTTTAGCACAACCTAACTAGTAAGGAGTGCAGTAGAGATTCGAGAAGGCTGGTGGGGTGCCCATGAGCGGCAGCGCCAGAGGGATATTGAAACGGTCATCTGGATCCCCCTGAGAAGAATGGGGCCTAAACCACGAGTGGGGATATTCACCCTACAGCACCAGAGCCCAAAAAGTACACAGATAATACTCAGCTGTGAAGAGTAGCAGGGTTGCTCTGTGCCAGAGATGGGTGGCTGGAGATACAAAGGGCCTTTTAAAAAACAACACATAAGTTTTTATTTAAAGCCACTTACTTTGGTCTCCAGCAAAGGTGGGGGCAGAGTGAGCTAGAAACACCTGAGAGACTGGGGAAGGAGGCTTTGGTGAGAGAACTGAGAGAGTAGCTGGCGGGATCCCAGTGCTGATTCATTCCTCATACGGCAGCAGCCATCTGGCTCAGGTAGACCACTCCCCTGAATGGCAACAGCTTGAGAGGACACAATAACCCCACCCCCAGGAGGGACGCTGCCCTGTTGGGAAATGCCCTGTCTGGTTTCAGGAACTGTAACCCCACCAACAGGCAGGAGGTCCCCCAAGGCTGGAAATAATCAGGGAGGCCTTGGAGAAACAGGCTCCTGAGGAGACATAACCTGTCCCCTCAGGCTACATCCCTGCCTCTCTGCTTGGCCCTGTGATGGTCCCTTGTTGACGGGTTACACCCCTCGATGGAAGGGCAACCTAAGCCAGACATCGACCAGTATGAGAAGCAGACAATAAATTGGGGGATATGAAGAAAGGGCAACAAGGCCTGAACCCCTTGGTTTGGCTTGGACATGATCAGAGTCCTCATTCTATCTGAAAGAAGTCTCCTTGTCTCTTGGTGGCTGGTTCCCAATGCCTGGCTCAGGCTCGAAACAATATTGGAGAGAGTCCTAGACCAGACCTGGCAGTTCCCAGGGAAATCAGACCTAAAAGTAAATTCTTTAAAGTATGTTTTGTTTTTCCCTCAGAAGTTATAGCCAGCTCATGCTGGGAAGGAAATTTACATTATTCACAGACCCTAACCCTATAACTTTAGGCACTCTTGTGTTTACTACGCTCTCATGTTTAGTCATCTTTCTTGTTTACTAGTCTCCTCTCAGATCCATGTAAATCGGTGTGTTCCTGCCATTTGTGTTCTTCAAAACATCACCTATTCTCTGTAAACATTAACATACTGATGTAATGAGATAACCTGTGCATTCCTGTTACCTAGCCCCACTGATAACCTTTTCAATAAAAGTCTCTGAACAAAGGGGCTCTGGGCCTTCCCCACTAGGGGGATGTGCCACATCCCCTCTCCTGGCAAACAGGTGTTTGCAATGACTCGTGTTTATTCCCCCTAATCCATGACACCTCGGGACAGGCTCCCGATAGGATTCAGAGTCCCCAATCCTATCTCAGCTGGCCTCGGATAACCCTCAGATCCTGGAGCATCACACTCCCCGCAACCCGCTCCATCCCCTGATGCATCAGTTGCTACTCAGACCCAGGACAAGCGGCGACCTGCAGCGGCACTCCCCCACACACCACATGCAATACTGCCCGGCCCTGTGGTGTCTAAGCCTGACTGCTGAGTGCAGAGTGACTAGATTAACAGCTGAAGGAGACAGCCACTTACAGAAGATTCCTGGAAGTCTCGAACAAACTGCCTAAGGTCAGACAGGGTCAACATCTGACATCATCAGAGGCAGATCCAGAAACAAAAAACAGTGGTCTCCTACCATAGAAGTGCACACCACAAAGTCAGGAAATCTAGACAGATCAATTTAAGAATCAAAAACAAAAAAGAAGAGTCTCACTAACAATGAGAAGACAAAAAAACACCCTCCAATTGAAGTGAAATGTGCAATCCCCAGAAAGAGAACTAAATAGAGACAAGTAAACTATCAGATACCAAGTTCAAAACAATGGTTCTAGGGAAGCTCAATGAGCTCAGTGAGCTCAGAGAGAATTGCAAAAAAACTACAAACTATGAGGAACTTACTGCAAACTATATAAGCATGAAAAAGGACATAGCAACTACCAATAAGGGACAAGAAGAAATGGAAGAATACAATTTCTGAATTGAAGAACACAGTGGAAGGAATTCAAAGCAGGCTCAATAAAGCAGAGGATCGAATCAGTGAGCTGGAGGACAAGGTAGAACAAAGCTCCCAGAAAGAGCAAGAAAATGAAAAAAAGACTCAAAAAGAATGAAGAGGCATTGAGGGAAATGCAGGAGAACATGAAATGTAATAATATCCACATAATGGGGATACCAGAAGGAGAAGAGGAGCAAGGCATAGAGAACCTGTTTGAAAAAGTTATGATGGAAAACTTCCCTCATTTGAGGAGAGAAAAAGCCATAAAAGTCAAGGAAACACAGAGGGTTCCATTCAAGAGGAACCCAATGAGGCCCACTCCAAGACATATCATAATGAAAATGCCAAGTATCAAAGACAAAGAG